TCCCTACCCTGGTTAAATTGCTCAGCAAAACTTAAGCATCAAAGGGCTTAAGAGATGGAGATGTTTAGAACTGGATATGGACAAAATAAAATGTCATAGTCCCAAATTCTATAGGAAGAGGGTGTAGACATAGAGCACTTGCATAAATGAAGGGCTTTTTGCTATGGTGTAAAACACTGAGAACATAGTGCACATAGGTGTGAGACATTCAGAATTCCTCATGAACACCCATCCCATTTGCTCTGATCACTGAGTAAATAGGAACAACAGTTACTCAGGATGTTTTCCAGTTAGAAATATTGGCAGTATTTCTGGGAAGTGTCAGTGATGTGGGTGGCAAGACCTGAGGACTGTGATTCCCAGAGCAACCTGAGAGGAATCTCAGCTCCTGGGCAGATTCTGTGGGAGTTGGATGCCCAATTTGGGTAAATCCCACTCATTAGTGCCATGAAAACCTAAAGGATTTAACAAGGAGTGCTGAGAGGGTAATGGACAGATGAGGAAGGCCAAGGCAATCCTCACCTTGCAGAGCTGCAGAATTTGGACCAAGAGGAGGAGAGATGAGGACAGAGATGTGAGGTGTAGATAGTGGAAGGGAATGCAGTAATTGCAACTTTGGCTTTGTCAGCACATCTTAGAAATCACTGCTTGGTTCTAAAAACCTCCTCTTGATGCACTACATCCAATTCCCTGATGAGAAGGAGAGTGCCCAGAGCTTTCAGGCACATCCACTCCTGCCTCTCCTGTAGGTTTTTGTGCTAATCTCTGGGTGCTGGTGGGAGCTACAGCTCAGGACTAAAAGCTCTAGTGTCAGACCACTCTTTGGGGGGGTTTTCCATTTCATCAGCTTCCTGCCAGGAAGGGACTGGAAGTAAAACCACCTCCAGTGGTTGTGTAGCAGCTGAGTCAGAGTGACCATGGTGGGAGCTCAGCCCACATTTGAGTGACCTCTAGCCCCCCATGGAAAATGGGTTTCACACTTACCCTGTTGGGTGTTGAGAAAAATGGTGAAACCATGAGGGTTTAGCCACTGCAGAGCAGAAGTGTTGTCACTGCTGAAGGTGCAGTGAAGGGTTAAGTCTTCTCCTTCTTTCCGAGTCATGGTTTGAGTGGCAGCTCCTGGAAACTCCCCTGTCACAAACCAGGGGGAAAAACAAGCATGAAAATATGACAGCAAGTGAAACAAAAATGTTTTGCACTGAGTAATGTGTCAACTTTCCTTTTCTCAAGGTTTTTTTTCTATATTGGGAAACTTGCCCATGTGCTCGTGGTGACATAAGTAAGTCACAGTCATTAGGTCATTGCAGCCACTGGGTGAGGTGTGTGCCCAAGGTTTGAGGTCCTCAGGTGCCAGCACAGCCAGGTTTAGGTATCAAATGTTATTAGCTGATAAAGAACTGATAGCAGAGCCATTTAAAGCACCTTCTCCCTGTTAACACACACATTCATTTTCATTACTCCACTACTGGAACTCAATAATCTTGAGCACAAGTGCCATGAGGAGAGGCTGAGGGAGCTGGGGGTGTTCAGCCTGGAGAAGAGGAGGCTCAGGGGAGACCTTCTCACCCTCTGCAGCTCCCTGACAGGAGGTTGGAGTCAGGTGGGGGTTGGTCTCTTCTCCCCGGCAACCAGCAGCAGGACAAGAGGGCACAGACTCAAGCTCTGCCAGGGGAGGGTTAGGTTGGATATTAGGAAGAGATTTTTTACAGAGAGAGTGCTCAGGCATTGGAATGTGCTGCCCAGGGAGGGGGTGGATTCCCCATCCCTGGAGGTTTTTAAGCTGAGACTGGATGTGGCACTTAGTGCCATGGTCTAGTAACCACAGTAGAGTTGGACTTGATGATCTTGGAGGTCTTTTCCAACCAGGTTGATTCTATGATTCTATGATTTTCAAGTGTGTGTGACTGACTAGTGAATGATTTTCCAGCCCTTCTGAAAAATGAGGCTTTTAAACTCAGAAATCATAATGTTACAACTGCTTTGAAACTCCTTTGGATGATCAGATCCACCAACCTGGCCTGGCACAGGTTCCTAAAATGAAATGTCCTTGTCTTCTCTCAGTTCATTTTACAAACAGGCAGTAAAATGTGCTTTCCTCTGCAGACATTCTAAGGTGTATAAAACACTTGGAAAAAATATTTGATGACCTGGAATGAATTGCCTTCCCCAGGAAAAAAATGGTACTGAGAGCAATGCCTGGGTCAGAGCTAAGTAAATAGGCAGTAAGAGGCTTTTAATTTTCATTCTGGTTTTGTGTGGTTTGCTTGTATTTTACAGGCAGTGCTTGCTCCAAGTTCCCACTGCATACATAAGCACTGCAGTTTGGGGAAATGAATCTGAGCTTTGGGAAAGATTTTCATGTTCTAAAACATAACAGAAACAAAGCTCTTGCAGTGCCTTGTGGCTAGACCTGATCTTTCCCCACTCAGACCAGAGGAAATCAGGGAAACTACTGGAAGATAGTAGTTTCCCCTGGGGATCTGAGGCTGCCCATGAAGACCTGTGGCAGGAGGTAGATGTTGGAGAGGCACAGAGAGGTTGGCTGTGGTTTCCCACAGAGCCCTTAGGCATTTCTCTGTCGAGGTGGTTTCCTGTTGCTAGTAGCAGTGTGGGGTCTCTCAGTCACACCTTTGGAGGTGAGAGCAGCAAGGCTGTGCAGGAAAAGGAAAAGGAGGGGGTGTTGCTCACATATCTGTAATTTCCAGGGGAGACCACTGCTCCATTCAGACCATGACTCATAGGACCAGTTTGAGGTAGTTGTGGTCTTCAGCCCCTGTAGCCCACCCCAGTACAGTCACTGGAGAGTGGGACATGCTCCCACAAGATGTTTCAGGGGACAGTGGTTTTTGTACCATGTGGTTTCCACCTGGAAAAATGAGCCTGGCATCAAGCACAGTGATGTATTCCCCTTCTTGGCAAGAAAGGGCAATGATTTCTTGCTAGACATAGCAGGATGCACTGAGCAGAATGGTCCTTGCTCCTCTTTTAGGCACCAGAAAGTGCAGAGAGCTGGTTGTGGTGAGAGATGCAGAGCATCAGTGCAGAGTTGTCTGTGAATTTTTGGCCCACAGAGACACTGTTTAAGGAGTTATTTTTGACCTGTGGCTGCTGACCTGCAAGAGGAGCCTGAATTATCTTGCTAGACATAGCAGGATGCACTGAGCAGAATGGTCCTTGCTCCTCTTTTAGGCACCAGAAAGTGCAGAGAGCTGGTTGTGGTGAGAGATGCAGAGCATCAGTGCAGAGTTGTCTGTGAATTTTTGGCCCACAGAGACACTGTTTAAGGAGTTATTTTTGACCTGTGGCTGCTGACCTGCAAGAGGAGCCTGAATTATGG